AGCGCCTTCCTCAGCCAGCGTTCGCGTAATGTGAATCCGCCTGCAACCGCAATGTCTTCAAGAACGAATTTATCAGATGACGGCCTTTCATTTCGATCATTAGCAACAACAACAACAACACAAAAATTGTTTGGGGTAGGATAGAAAAAGTTACTGCTGTTTCAAAAATACGATAGAGAGAGAGGATTGATAGATAGACAGGACCGACAGACAGGAGTAGATAAATAAATGAGATTGAGAGTAGTTAGATAGATAGTGATAGATATATACACTGGAGGAGTAGATTAGATAGATAGAGGATTATTAGAGGGTTAGATAGGATACGATGAAGAGTAGATAGATAGGATAAGCGGATAAAGAGTAGAATAAAGAGAGAGAGACGCATATAGAGACAGAGACAAAATGAAAAGGGAAACAGAAAAAAGACAGCTGAGAGAGAGGGGCGAGAGCTGGTGGGCGCGACGGGGGTCAGGAAGAAGAGAAAAAGAGAGAGAAAGAAAGAGGCAGAGAGGAGCAGATTGTCAGCGAGAGAGACTCGATGGAGATGATGCAGAGAGAGAGTAATGGATGAGACGAGAGAGGCGGACGAGAGGAAAACACCGGACCCGACGACGAGGAGAGACGGAGCGAGGAGAGACGACGATGAGGAGAGAACGAGAGAGACCTGAACTGACAACAAACCTAGACGGTATACGCATAGATAGATTAGACAAGATAAAGAAGACAGAGAGGAGCGAGTGGATGTTGAAGAGCAGACGAGAGATGATGAGAGAGACAAGAGAGACGAGACGAGAGAGAGGAGAGGAGAGCCGAGAGAGAGACGATCGAGAGGAGTACGGAGGCAGACGAGAGAGGGAGAGAGAGAGAGCAGAGAGAGCGCACAGACAGACAGACAGAACAGACAGAAAGAACAACCAAATTAGCAACCCCGCTACCCCAGAGGGAGTGCAAACAACAAGTACGGCATATGTCCACATATTAATTGCACCCCGCGCCCCCCCCCCCATCACCTCCCTCCCAGTCCTCCCCCATCCATATCCCTCCCCCACCCTCCTCCCTCCCGCACCTCCTCCCTCCTCGCCTCCTCCCTCCCCACCTCCTCTCTCCCCCCACCCCCTCTCTCCCCCCACCTCCTCCCTCCCCTCTTATTCCCTTCCCCTCTTTCCTTGGTCTTTCGTTTTCCTTCTTTTCTAGGTTCTTCTTTCCCTTCTTCTCTCTCTCTCTCTTTTCCTTCCTTTTCAACTCACTCGCTTCCTTCCCTTGCTATCTCTTCGCTTCTTTTCTACTTTCCTCTCTCTCTTCTTTTCTTTTCTTCTCCCTCTTATCTCTCTTCCTTCCTCAACTTCTCTCTGTTTCCTCTCTCTCTCTCTCTCTTTCTTTCTTTTCTTCTCCTTCTTATTTCTTTTCCTCCTTACTCTCAAGTTTCCTCTCTCTTTCCTTCTCTCTGTCTTCTCTCTCTCTCTCTCTCTCTCTCTCTTCCTTTCTTTCTTCTCCTTCCTTTATCTTTTTCCTTCCTTATTCTCTCTATCATACTTCCCTCTGCCTTGCCACCCCATTTTCCTCATCCCTCCCCCTCCTTTAGCTCCTATTCCCTTTCTACTACCCTCCCCCTCCCCCTCCTCCCAACCACTCTCTATTTCTTCCCACTATTCGTTTCTTTCCTCCTTCCTTTCTTCCTCTCTCCTTCCTTCCTTCTTCACAGACCGCTCTCCTCGCCCTCCCCTCCCCTTCCCCCGTCTTCCTAAATCCTTCATAGCCTTCTCCTCTTCCGTCCTTTCCTCCTACCCCCCTCCATCTCCCCCTCTCTCTCCTACCCCCTCCCTCCTCTAACCCCAACCCCGCTCCCCCTTTCTTCCCTCCCCCCTTACCTCTCCCCCTCCCTCCCCCTCCTTCTCCCTCCCTCCTCCTCCTCCTACCCCCTTCCCCCTCTTTACTCCTCTCCCTTCCCCTCCTTCACCCACCTACCCACCCCACCCACCCCTCCCTCCCTCCTCCCCCATCCCCCAGTCCTCCAACACCCCCTACCCCCCCACCCTCTCCCTCCCACCCCACCCCTCCCCTCCCCAT